AGGATGGAAAGGTCACCGTTATTTTGGTATCTTCCTCATCTTTGATTCTTTGATTCCTGATCAATTCTTCGTGTTCTGAGTATTGTTGAATAGTGTATATTTCATTTGTACTTTGTGTAATCAACTTAAATATAAAAACATGATAATGGTATTTTTCATTTGTACTTTGTGCAATCAGCTTGAATATAAAAACATGATAATGGTATATTTCATTTGTACTTTGTGCAATCAACTTGAATATAAAAACATGATAATGGTATATTTCATTTGTACTTTGTGCAATCAGCTTGAATATAAAGTATGATAATGGTATATCATTTGTAAATAAACATGATAACGGTTTAGTATATATCATCTTGTTATTGACTATGATTCTAAACGAAAACTTAACAAAACATTGATGGAATATAATTGTTCAAACACATTATTCCGTTATCTATTTGTTTCCTGTTGCCAAGGGGATCTAGATATATTTCGCAATATATTTTATACTGGTAAACATAATATTTAGAAAGTAAATGAAACGCTTGAACAAATTTATATACATAACTGTCCAACTTACATAGCCATGTAATTCGTTGCAATACACATCAGATATGTTTTGTATATTTGGTTATATGTTAGTTCATACAACACCCCGTCACGAACATTCCAGCTTATGCACACAAAAGCAATCCTATGTAATTAAAAAATACCTTTGAATATTTCATGAAAAGGAAGCCATTGTCCGTCCAAACAGTCTTTGTTCCAAGCCGTAGAGAAGCGGTCTGTTAATCTGTGGGTGTCCTTTGATTGGTTTCAAACGACAATTGACGTTGATGACTACATCTTGATGCCTTAAAAGCTAGACTCGGAACGGTTGCATTGCTTCTCTTATCAGCGAAAGAATATTACTTGAAGCAGCGAATTGGAAATATTCGTGTCTTTTGAAAACGAAATTAATATAACAACAATCCTAAAAATAAAAATAAAAATAAATCTTCCCAGAATCTTGTACTTTAGACTTTAAACGACTCGTGATGATATATGATCTCTCTTTGGTGAGACTGCATTCATAACAGTAGGTAAGCACTATTCAGGGTGCATCATAAATATGGATATAGTTAATGTGCACATTTTAATGGGAAGTATGTATGTAGTATGGATATAATTATGCTGAATATAGAACTTCAAATGTTTCCAGAATCGAAGTACGAGAATCACACATTCAATATTAACTGAAAGCATTTATTTGGAAGAGAAATGGAATCATATATTTATATGACATAACATGACTACAGGATGCTTTGGTTCTGACAGTGAAGCCACCACATGGACAGTGTGTAACACTGATTTTCACATACTCATTTACAGCAAAGTCATTTTACAGTATAGTGAATACATTTACATATTGCATAGAAAAGTGTGAATTATCAACATTAGCTTGTGATATGAGACGATGAGATAACATGAAATAGCTCTGCGTAAGCGAGTGAATGAGTGATTGAGTTAACCGCCGATTTCAACAGTATTTCAGTTATACTGTGGGTCCCGGTAACACTGCCGTATGTGCAGAAGAGACTGTGATCATATTTACATATCAATAACCAGGAAAACAGTATTAAAATATTCCGAATATTATCGAAATGAATATAGGGAAACATATTTACCAAATTACATACAACACACCTTATTCTTCGTATAATCTACAGAAATTAGATTCATTTACATTTATTTCAAATATAATACCCTTCACTTTGATCTTCGATGTTACAAATACACTGGAATTAAGAATTACTTGTGGTACACAATGCTCGCTGATCTGCCTACTGCCTATCAAAGCGCCGACGTTACAACGTTGAAGCATCATGTACTTCAGCAACGTCGAGCAGAGCAGGACCCTCTTTCCCACGTCCCTGTGGAAGCCATGTTTCAGTGGGTGAAAGAACGACAAGGGCTTTCAAGAGCGTGTCCATGACAGTTGAGCATAGCGTGCAACAATGGGAGGCGATGAAGACTGTTCTGGTTGTTGATGAAGTGGTCATGGCGCTCCCAGAGAAGTCGATGGTCAATAGTGGCTGTAATTCCGCTGTCGACTCACCGCTGCTCTGTTGTTGATCCCAGGGGCTATACAATTATGGCACTTGTCCAGTCCTTGTTCGCTGTAGCACTAAATTACAGGTTGAAAGACCCGTCTATAAAGGCTTAATAGAGGAGTAGCTCCGTGCCAATGGTAAATGGTTCGATCTGGAATGGATCCTTACACGGGGGCATGTTATGATCGTGTGAAGTGGTGATTTAGTGATACTATTCAACCTCTGATGGTATTGAATATTTCATAATATTTACATGCACTGATAAATAATAAGATAAACAGGCATACCCCATACAAAAAATGGGTAGTTAGTTTTGTTCTTTACAAGACACAATCAACAACATTAAGAGTAAAGAAAAATATTTTGACATGTGTGATGGTTAACACTATAATAATCTTTACAACAATAATAGTACTATATTATATTTATAAACACATTAAACGCTGCAATCTTCGTTGACAAATATGTAATTCAACAAAATCAACCAAACATGTAATATAAACGTAACATGTTACAAGTAAATCTGCATTATATCGAGATATAATTTCGGGAATGTTAATGAATATCTCACCAACAGCATCTCCGTCTAAAGATTGCTTATCCTAAACAATAGAGGAATTCATGGATTTCGAATAGCGTTGGATAAATTACTACAGCTAAATATCGAAGCCCTGAGAACCAACGTATGTGTTTTTAAACCAAAAACAGTAGTACCTGCCTGGCATTATGTTTTTTCACCTTAACAGTAGATGACCCCATCAGATACGTTTTCATAGGATGGCCTCATCTAGTGTAAGAACCAACAGATTATGTGATAAAGAGATAAATGCAGTGACAATTATAGCAAACAATAGTGTCGATATACACGGATTTTGGAACAATAGAGGTCTACTCTCTGAATGTATTTCGAGTTAAACGAGTCCGAGATAATAATAAGTATTGCGATATTAGCTTATCCGACATACTGACTTATCCGACTTCGACATAAGAGAGTCAAATAGTCATCATCCATCATAAGGTACATGGTCTAGCTTAACATAATGAAATGAGAGTGACAATTTTAATTTTTTTCCGTATATATTTTTCATATCGTCTCTGCACATAGAGACGTTTGTATGTCTGGTTACGATTCGACCAACCAAACTTCAGGCTCGTCCTTTGACAGGACCCTATCTCGGTTAATGTCAAACTTGGGCGTCTGTAAATATGATATTCGGCCCAGAATATATCGAACGCTCTGGTCAAAATGCCAGGAACGTTGTGTGCTAGAACATGTACAGTGAAAGGCTGTTAAGATGGTGGATTGGCTTCTTGGCCCCGGAGCCTCGACGGGCAATGACAGCAAGATAAAAAATGAGATACTAGTTTCAAGAAGACTGACCTTCACTGGAACATTGGCTTCGAAAAATCGGTTTTATCGAACACGTGTCACTTTTAGGATAGTAAATGCTTATCTCGGAAGACAGATGTCTATTTTAAGGAGATATTCTGGTAATAAATGCAACGATAACCAATATTGGATGAAAGGGCTCCCTTTTGTAGCATGCCTCTGTACAATATCCTGAATGTGTTATTGGAAACCAAATATATAACTGACCGTTATGATGTCGACGAAAAATGTCTAAATCTGATTTTGAAGATTTTTCGTTTTTCTTGATTACAATTTTCTTTGAGTCGGATGGAATAAATGACATCTAGCATATTTCGAGACCTCACATCGAATGTGAGATATATGAAACCACGACGAAAGTAATCTTCTTTTCAGTGTCTTTGTTTTGTGGTCTTTTGCAGCAACCGTTCGACACCCTCACTCATTTTATTTGCACGTGGGTTTCATTAAAATCATGATTTTCAAAACCGAGAAGACTTGAACAATCTTCAATCCCAAGATGTATATAAATGATGTCAAATCAATATTTTTAATGTCAAAGCACATCTGTTTGTACCATAATTTACCTTTTTAATTTTTAGTTTTCATTTAATATATTTTAAACAAGCAATTTCAATTGGATGGTGTGATGGGGACATGGTTCTATTGCACGAGATACTGATATGTTCATCATTTATGTACATTTCACAACGACACTTTATCTAAATAATAAACATAGAATACATTCCAATAGTCATGAACATTTGGATATATACAGACAAAAAACAAAATTTCAATTCACTGTAATCTTCGTTGTGAAGGAACATATACTTCCCATCAAAAGCTTAGACTCACTTAAAACACTCACTATATGTTTTATATATATATATATATACGCACAGAATGTCCAAAATACTACAGGTGTTCAGTCATAAATATCACATAGATAAATAAAAGCGGAATGCCTTTTTCTCCAAAATGTTTCGTTCTTTACTCTTCAGGGAGATTGTAATCACTTCTCCCTGAAGATAAAAGTGAAACATGTTGGAGATGATCCGTGTCGTGTGATTATTTCAGAAACTTCTTCTTATATATGTACTACTAGTGTACGCTCGGTATTCTCATCACTTTTATATATGGTTACATCGGAGATAGATTTCTCTACTAACTACTAACTTGGTGGGGACCAACTGCAAACCTTATGCAGATGAATTGCCCGAGGATCATGCATCAATTTGCTGAAAAACATGACTCAAATATCGTGCATGTGAACAGCTGCGTTTTGGTGTAAAGTTTTGTTATGAATTCGCCAATTTTCACTGATTTTTAGCATTTACTGAACTCATGACCAAACTCTTTTCAACGTTATGAATTCGTTTTACAATATCAGTTCATGTGTAAGCAAAAACCTTTAAACAGTATGGAATATTTTGCAAAATTTAGTTTAGAAAAGTTGCCTGAAGTAAGTGGCTATATTTACACTCGTGAGTCTAAACTTTTGATGGGTAGTATATTAGCAGTTAGCCAGGTGCAGGTGCCGGTGCACGTGTAGGTGCAGGTGGATAGCCGGACGTTGTTATTGATCATAGTCGACAAGAATACAAATAATCGAGCATGACAAACAAGTAGATGATAGAATGAAGAACACTGTCAGATCATGATCACAGGCCACTGCAACCATCCGATCCCCTGTATAGTCGGCTCTTAACCGCAATGTAACTGAGGACATAATCCTTTTCGTGACCGACAGACATATCTATGCATAGTCAATACCGAACGATAAACGTAAAAATCCAAAGCAATATCATATCACCATTAAAGATATTTCCGGATTTCTGAAAAATACTTTTCCCCGAAAACATATTCGAAACATTTGGATAAGTCCATTATTATTTAAGTGCCATTGTTTAAATTAACACCGGATATGAATATTTGTTTTTGCACTTTAAAATCACCACATTCATAAGTCTTAAGTCCAAAGCACGATGCAAGAGATAACCGATATTTCGATATTCAGTTGAGTTTCAAGCGGAGATATACCTATTTGAACAAAAAGAAGATATTAGTGCACAGGTTTTCGAAAGGGCAGAGGTGCAATTATAAAACAAAAAAGATATATTTGTGCAAAGAAATAGTGAAAGAATTGTCATTTTATGACACCAACACATTCGAATTGAAGCTTTAACATGACGTTGGGTGCGTTCATCCTCGAACCTCCCCACCACCCTCGGGATGTGCGTACGTGTAGCGATACATATTTACTACTTGAAACTGCGATAAGGGCATGGGTTTTCGTTGGTATAAAACACACAGAAAGTTCCATGTATGTCCGTACTTTCAATTTGTCACTTGACATGATACGTGTTTATTTGAACTGAAACAATATGTATTTTACCAGACAATAATGAACGTCTCTGTTATTCATTTCCCAAAGTATCGAGTCATGTGTTCAAAAGCTAATCTATTACAAATACGTTATTTGTATTGATTATAGTTATGTTGTCACACGGGGGAATTGGCCTCTGATATAACCTAACGAGCAATTGTCCATATCACATTCATTTACGACATTGTGTCGCCTCATTGTCGTTGAGCACGTGGAGGCCACATTACGGCAAAAATGGATGCCGCACTGGTCAGGATAAATGAATCGGTTCATCTGTTAAGGGATCGAAGGATATTAGCTGACGATCTGTTGGTTCCTTGAAAGAGCACTGAAACAGACAGAAAAAGGTATCAATTCTTCGTTACAATGACTTGGGACCAAATGCCGACTTATGTTGTGGCAACACAGTTGTAATGATCAATCTGGTGACACACAACCCGTCTGCAGTTACATCGGAGTGAGCCTAAGGTCAGTTGATACTGAGTGATGTGGGTATAACACGTCCTCTAAGAGTATTTCACTTCTATCGCGTCGTGTCAGCCAAAACAAGGACGGAAATGCGAAGTGAGGCAGATTGTTAACTTCCTTATCGAACAAAGCTCGGGTATGACAAATTTAGGCACATTCAAACCCAGACAGAGGGTCTTGTCACACCGATTTGCGGCGCCTCAGACAAACGAGTGACTCTGGTCCCTTTAAAGTGTGAAATTAACTACATACACCTGATGATGAATTGTGAAATATCGAGAGAGGGTAAAATAAAGACACATAGCATTTGAGACGATTTAAATTAAATCAGTACGTCACAGATGGGTGTATCAGGCGAAATCAATGTTCGCTTGACGAACCTCTATTATCCTTCAACTACATTTGGGAGGAGAGGGTTGTGTGTTGTATGAGCTATGATATTGTCTATTAAAGTAGAGTCTATAAAAATGGCTGAGGAGGTGGTCCGGGGATTTTCTAGAACAATATCTTGCAGTAGTAAAACGGAAACAATTTCACTCGTCTTCAGTTTTTTTCTGTTAGCATATCGAATTTTGGCTCCTTCATTAAAGTACAACAGTTTCAACTAAAACGTTAGTACTCTACCGTTCCGTTTTCTTCTGCCTCTGCCAACGGTGATCGCGGCAATCGAGTGAGTTGTCTCCCTTTCTTTGGTTCTACGACCGCAGTGCCCTTCATCCTTGAACCACTCTAAAACCCAACAACAGATTTTTATGGTGATAACGGCGACGAAGAGTTAGAAGTGAAAATAACATAATGGTTTTAGCATATCTAACCAATGTCCATACGTGTGATTGACCATACCTTTACAACTAAAATATAATAATAATTATCTTCCCAAGAATTTCACGTGATCTAATTACATGAAGGAAAACGAACGCTACATCCCGCATATACATTTTCTGTGGAATTACTTTTTTTTAAAAAGTAGCAGCAGCTTCGAGTGAAATCCGCAACACATCTTATACATGCATGGGGTTACTCCAATGAATCGTAGTACTTCTTATTTCAAAGGAAAATCAATAGCTCTCATAATTAGATTCCAATACATCATCTTAGGAAATCTATTTTATTGTCAACGAGAAATACAGCATCCAAACTTCAAAGATTCGCACCTTAAAGGATCTTCCCCTGAGTTTGTTCTTTATCAGGAAGTCCATAAACGCCACGAGAATAGCGAGTACTAAACCGCTGATGAGGATGTGGAATATCCCCGACACATTGCTCAGTGTCAGGGCGCTTGTGGCTGTGTCCTAAAATTGACATTACAAACAAATGAGTTAGGTGAAACACATACATATACAACATAAGTTTAATACAACGAGAAGGACTAAATGTCATATCGGATTTACAATTTGAAGTATTTTCAAAGCTACGTAGATTAAATCTCACTTAAGATTAATCGGTTATGTTTTCTGGCCGTTGCCGTAAACGTATTTCACAAAATGCATTTACATTCACTTGAAAAGATCAAAGAAAATTATCAAAACCTTCGTTTCTTTAAAAAACAAAGCCCACACAAGAATATGGCTACAAACGTGTTGCAACGTTTGATGGTTTATTTGACAGTCAGATCGGACCTCGTTATTCCCCTGGCCCGTCTCTCCGTTCGATATAGACACATGTATGTCTGTTTCACGGAAATGGTAGGATTAGATTACTTTCTGTATCCACAATAGAGACGAGCGAAAAACATATGTTCAGAGAAATTACGTTACGGTTCTAATGTCAGCAAATTCGGCATAGATGTTACATGGAAGAAACTTACAAACTTTCATGTCCACGTTACCTTCCAGTACGTACACGTACGATGCATTACTACCAACGTATGGAATTCTTGGAGAGTTGTGAAAGTACGAGACCATTAATGACAGGAACATTACAGAAGTCGTATATCATAAAATATATTCTGACAGCCACATCACTGAAGTATGTTAAAATGGAATTCCGCACACGTTACCACTACAATACGGACTGAATTCAGGAATTCGAAAATTCTTTATGCACTCCATCCACACAACAAACCCCACCCTCCCCAAATATATATGTAATAGAAACCAGTATTACAGCGCCTGCACCAAGCCGTTCTTTGAAGGAGCGGTCGGTAGCTACACTCATATCAATCTCATTTGTGAAGCTCAATCTCATCACTGACATCGGAAGAATTGTACTCCTATCATGTTCAGGTTGCAACTGAGGGTGAATTAAAAGCAATTTAGGAACAGGTATTATATTCTCGTAACAAACGACACTGCTTGACACATGTCAGTGTCTGGAACACTTCCCGGATATGTTTGGTCAGGCATCAGGAAGTCGATTGTCAACCCGTAAAAGCAGTGTTAATATTCTACATCCTTTCCAACGATTTGGGAATAGAATTTTATTTGTTCTCCTAGTTTCATTTATTTGCAATTCATCACGTAAGCCTTTTTTTGCCGGGACATGTTAAAAAGTATTATTACTTTTGATACAGCTTAACATGTGCGACAGTTTAACATCTAAGCCAAACAAAAGTTCATGGATTTCTTTTAAGTTGCGTGTGTTAAGTGTCAAGTATGCCCTTGAGTGTTTGCGCATATTTGACAGTTTATGGTTTTGTGTCACAAAATAAATCTTAATAGAGATTCAGGTTTGAATTCCATGCTACTTTAAATGTACATTTGTCCTTTGCAAGCTGGAAATGACGACCACATTACGGGCACATTAAGTACCGCCACATTGAACATAGCCACAGGAAACACGTGACATGTTTGCTCCGAAACATCGTTCCAGAACTTACATACAGCAGTCAGGGCCGTCCGCTAATTTGTCTCAGCTATGCTCATACACAACTCCATAATGATCAACAATGCATTCAAAACGTTGCTCCCAGAGGCAATCCCGAGACATAAACCAACACTAAAGGACTGGAGAGTTACTTGATTGGCATGCTGCTGATCGACTTCTGCAATGCACTGACCATCTTCACCATTAAGATCTGGGGCAAATATTCAGACCAGAATGTCTTATTGTGGTGCTTCATCGTCCGCCATGGTTACCTTGCCTCCACCTTCCTTGCCACACTGGCCTTTATCGTACCACCATTTCTGTTCCATCTTGTGGAGAACCCCTACCTCCCGCAGTTCCAACACAGCTATATTTATAGGGTCTCTGGAAGAGAAATGTCATAATGCCTTTCACTACACTGACATTTATCGAGTTGTTTACTCAGGTTTTCGGAAACTTGAAATATTGATACTGAATGTCTGTCTGACTGTGAATGCCATGGTACTGTGTTAGCTCTAGCAGTGGCAACAATAGTTATACGTTTCCTCATAATTCATGAACGCACCTGTTCATCTGAGGCATCTATTGTGTACACATTGCTCGCGAACGCCTGGTGGATCATCACTAATGTATGCACTATACTTTAGATATTGTGGGATTCGAACAATGAACTCAGGTAAAATCATATATTATTGAAACTTTATTAAATCAACCTATAGTTTTGTCAAGCTCGGTGACATTGCTGACTGCCAGTTATCGTGTCTCGATACTGTAGGCGTAGTTCATAATATTAATTATTGCTTTGTCTCATCAAGACTTATGTATTTACAGATGCTTGACTATTGAGTTACAAAACAAACACAAAATTGCACATCACTTATGATTCGAGTCACGTAAATGTATATTTACTCATAAAATAGACAGAGAGACAGACAGATTGTTTATTATAGTCTCACCTCGTCATTTTGATAAAAACCTACATACATAATATATACATGATAAAAACTATACATAATTTAAGGCAATATAAGCGTAAATGTAACGAGCCACCCTGTACAGAGTTATGAGAGACTTTAAAATTGTAACATCTATTGCAACATTCAAATCTTAAGAACTGCATAAAATAAAATGTTATCATTAGTAATAATGCGTTAAATGTAAGAATGAATGAGTGAGTGAGTTTTGTTTTACGCCGCTTATAGCAATATTCCAGCAATATCACGAACCCGGGCCTTCGGCGTGACGAGCGAACGCTTTAACCATTAGGCTACCCCACTGTCCCTTAAGAATGAATGACGGTCAAAATGACCAAATACAATAAGAAACACAAGGTGTCTTTCTATTAACAAATCTTAAAACAGCAACATGTTATAATGTAAACTAAGGTACATAAGAAGAGTACATCCTCTGTTTTGTGGTAATATAAAAAAATAACCAACGTAAATATTTTGAAAAGTGTCGTAATTGTTACTTACTGGTCACAGACATGGTGTGCGTGTTGTCGAGACACCACAGATATCGTACCCTTTTGCGATGTTGCCAGCCTATGTCTATTTGAAAGTTTGTGAATAGTCTCAGTGCTAGGATGGCTTTGTTGCACTGTGACTTTCAGAAGGGCTCAGGGCTAACTTGGTGAAACGTTGCTCAGGCCATTACGAGTGATATTGCTCCATTTAAAACACGTCATACCTTAAATCGGAGCCGAGTGTTGTAGCTATTCCATAGCCCTTGGAGTCCAGGTTACGCCCGACCTTCATGGTGTTACATGGTTTCCTTTGGTTAAAATACTCGTTCATGGCAGACTCCAACAGAAAGGCGAACTTTCCTTTAGATGATCTGACTCGCTCGACACCTTCATCCACTTTGGAAACAAAGGACGAGGGCACAGCATCCATCATTGAGTTCCACATCTGCTTGTACACCGTCACTTCAGAATCCTGCATCAAAGGTGAGAGACAGTCAACGTGAGTGGGTAAGATAATGAACATTAGAAGGAGAAGGCCAGAGTTCAATGTGCTATATATAATAGATAAATTATAAGGTTTTCATGACATTTTCCCGTGAAGGATATGTCGAAAATCTGCCCCGATAACCTGGCTAGATTCGCCCATCATTTCGAGCATATGACGATACAGTGACCTCAATATGCTGGGAGGTAATAAGAAAACACTAGATGATGAAATCTACCTGAATGATCTACTTATTTATTAGTGCAATGTATGCTTTATGCATTCAATACCAGGTGGGTTGGGTATGACCCACGAACAAGACCTGACAAGAGTCTGGCTCTATTTCCGTATCCCCAGTCCTCCGCTCCTAAACAAATTCATCCCGCGTGTCTGCTGGCAAAGGATGATACATTTCTTTCTCCATTAATAATTTAATGTCATTCACCGTTTGCCAAATGTTCGTGTGCTTCAGATTTTCTCAAGGGTCTGTTTCCATTAGTTGTGGCCTGTCCTTTGTCAAACCACCTGTGCCTATTTTTGGTTAGAAATGACATGGCGAAGAAATGAGGTCACTGGCAAACCGTTATATGTGGCTCAGTGTTAACCAGTGATGTCAATGTTGGTAAAGAACCAACATTTGCCACGGCAACCTCCTCATGTTCTGAAACACTGTCATCTTCATCTCCATCATGTGTGTTCAGTGTGTTCTTGTCCGTGTCAAGGTCGCAAAAACGCGCATTAAGAATCCTTCATTGCCTCCCCTTGCCCGTCAATTAGTCGAGGAGTCACTTGTTTTTTTTTTGTGGAATTCTCTACAGAATGAAACCTTCTATAAGTGAGTAGCTCGAAAATCTCTAGGATCTCAAGAAATATGTCAGCTTATTTCAGTATCGTAAATGGCGAATGAAATGGCATGGGTGGAATTTAATTGTGTTCAGATCAGCCACATTTCCCAGTTTCGGTTTCTATCACAACACTGATAGCGAGAACACAATGAAGACTCTGTAAACATGGCCTCTTCGCATGAGATTAAGAGAGAATCGAGTAATAGAAACATTTTTCAACTAGTTTATAATTTGCTGATGCACGCCTCAGGCATGTAGTCATGAGAGTCTGTAGGATGGACTTTAATCATACCCTTGTCTTTGTCTTTTTAACTATATTTCTAAGCACAATAAACATAATTCGGGTATTCAGGACAGACAGTAAACTGGTCTATTGAAATGAACATCAGCTATTTGCAGGATGCAGTAGGAATAGAAAATATTACGTTATTAAAAGTTGATGAGGCACAAAGGCCGACATTTGCCTAACCATCGATGATATGGTGCTGAATATTTACATGATCAAAATATATCCGCCGATCGCTGGGAAGGGTATCAGACACATTCTCGTGATGAGGTTGTTCTCAATTTCACGCAACCTTTCTAACGTCCTATACTGACATTAGCATGTGAATGGGAACAGTTACTCACACAGACATGTCAGTAACGAGCAGCCGAGAGACCTAGCCGTTAGGGATTTTAACAGTCTTAAACTGACGGTTAAAAAAATGGATGTCTATTTTTTACGCAATGCAATAAAAAGGAGCGTTATTCGTATTTTTCTATAAGATCACGCCTTTGAAAAATATTGATAAGAATATAAAATATTTTTTTACTAGTTCCTCTCTGACAGAAAGGTTCATCTTGTAGATTATAAAGATGCGGTTGTAAAGTACCATCATCTGACTCTGAGTGTTCACAGGCTCCAAAGGCGCCCACAAAAATGATAGTAAGACTTGTGCAAATACCACAAACCAAAGGTCACACAAGCTTTGACGTCTAATTTCCTGGCTGACTGACAGTGCTGTATATATTGCCATTAAGTATGACATCCACGAGATATGTCACGCAATGCAAAGGTGACCAATAATAAAATTAGTTTGCCAGACAGTCGTGAGCCTTGAAAACACTCTACCCTTTTTAATTCCTTGTTAGCATACAGTAAATGACGATATAAGTAGTCTGGGTTCTTGGTAACATCACTGAGCTGGCACAGTGATGAAAAATCAATCCATGTGTCTGTGGTGTGTGTGCATGGAGCATGGGATTGATATGCGATGGTGTCAATGACGCTGTTAACGTCGTAATGTATATTATTACTTGTATATGTTTCTTTTGAAATAAATCTATTGCTTGTTTGAAGAAAGAAATAGCGCCTGAAAAGATGTTAATCACAGTTATGGATGTGTTTGATATACTCTGGTATAGATTTTAGTTGGCATTATGTATCAAATAAATTAATATATGCAAACTGGTGTATCATATCAATATCAAGGATAACGAACAACAGGCACTGCCAATATAATAAGCAATCTGTATAAAAGTGTAAAAACCGAACATTTGGCTTCATCTGCTTACAGATGAAAACAGGTAGACATCAAGTGTGTTACAGGGAAACTTCGTGATTGTAATTGTTATGTAATTACAAGACACGTAATGTTGATATTGACTATATTATTTTGAGTGAGTGAGTTTAGTTTTACGCCACTTTTAGCAATATTCCAGTAATATCACGGCGAGGGACACCAGAAATGGGCTTCACACATTGTGCCCATGTGGGGAATCGCGACCCGGCGTGACGAGCGAACGCTTTAACCGCTAGGTTACCCCACCACCCCATACTATTTTGAGGCGCCCTGTGCAGCCCAATCACTAACATTATTTATATGCAGAGTCTGCAAATTACAGACTGAGACATGTTGAGGATATTGACAACCTCTTGCTGAGATCAACAGGTTTAACGCATGACAGTATCCCTCAAGCCTTCACCACATTGAAGACGACACAATATGTGTAATCTGATCACAAATACTATACTGTGGATAATGAAACTAACATTGCCAATGCATGAGAGCCAACCGACTTTCAGTGAATTATCAAAATTAGAATAAGAACGACTACAACAAACAGTTGTACACAAGTATGTTGTCATTGTGCGAGTGACTTATATTACCGGTAAGGCAGGACATGTTTGCCTCTTTTTGCGAAGACCTTGTGAATTTCAGTGATACTTTTACAGAATTTGTATTAATATTTTGCATTTCATGTCCAATAGATTCTGTTTCTGATGATAAGGGTAATAACGTTACATATATTTTTGCAGGAAATTAAAGTAAAATTTCAATATATCAGGGTGAGTTTCTGATTCCCAAATCCTTAAACATATTTCTATTATATTACGTGTGAGTGTGTACGCGAGAGTTTTCGATATTGTACATGTAACAACACTGGGTATGGTGACACCAAGTCGCCCAAGTTAGAGTCATAGTTGGCGGTCGTGCAATTTGGAACCAGAACTGGTTCTTATCACCGGAAGTCTGGTACCGGAAGTAAGCTGGGCCCCGTCTCGCATATCACAAGTTGGTGCTCGCAAAGCGAGCCGGAAACCACGGAAGTACCACCGACCACCAGATCCCGGCGTCGGCAACCCAAACGGAAAGTTTTAACAACATATACTTCTTCACACCAATGTTATATCGTAGTCTGTGATATGAATCAAACAACAATGAAAAATATATAAACAGCATCTTCATTTAAGCTTAAACAACAATATATCATGAAAATACATACCCTAAAAAATTCGTATGTTGAGCCATTTTCCCTGGGACCATATTTTATTTCTGTTTGTTTAACTAGGTCATCCGCTGAATCGATAGGTGTAAACATCCGCTCTATAGTGAGGAAGGCAGCCAAGTTGGCAGTATAGGAGGATATGAGGATGAGTGTAAAAAACCACCAGGCACTCCCCACTATACGGCCGGAGAAGGATCTGAGGACAAACAGCAAAGGCCAATGTAATGTCATAACGATTGGATCATGTGCTTGTTCAAGGTAATCCATTAATCTGCTTCTTAAAGTGAGGTCCAGATTGACTAATTCCTCTGGTAACAGAAGGGGTAAGATGAAATGGGTTTGACGTTGGGTTCAAGGTCATTACACTCATATAGGACAGTGTGTGTGTGTGCGTGTGCGCGTGTGTGTGCATGTTCTTAATAGAAACCCCACTCAGACACAGTATACGGACTCTAATCCGACCATTCCTCGTTTTATCCCCTGTGCACGAACACCAGGCAAGGGTAAAACAAGTACCATTTTTCAACGCATTAGTATCAGATGATCGAATAACTGTACTCTACGTAATGGCAGATCCGCTCACCAGTAATGGCCCGTTAACTAAGGTTTTCAGACTATATATTAGCATAGGGAATTTGGCGATAATTAATACAGTCGGTAAAGCCCTGTTCATAACCATGAGACATTTCCGCTAAAAGTTGTTTCCTTTCTTTAACCTTTTGGTCAATTTAAAACATATACAGTTTTGCCCTAATTAATGAAAAGGTACTTGTTTGTCTGAGACACTTTGTGAAATGTGATTCTTGCTCAAAAGTTTTTGATTATGGCTTCAATACCTATGTAAAGTTTTCAAAATGCCTATGGCTGATATGTGAAAATCATTTCCAGATAAGGCGCATCAGTGACAAAAATGATGCTCGACGCAGGCCCCTATTTAGTCTGGTACCATGTTTTTCCAGTTGATCAACTCACTGGCCTTTGGAAATGTTGGAGACGGTTGCCAATTTTGGGACAGGATACGCACACTTTGTCTGGTATCGTTACTAGTAGATAATGATTCATTAATACGTTTAAGATTCACAAGTAACAATTAGCAGGAAATTGTTTCACTTATGGAAATGGTTTTATGTCTTTCATATTCCTTCTTTCAGCCATGTTAACAATGTATTGTAATACAGCGACATTACACCATCACCGATTGCATATTAGTCTGTGTCATATTACAATTGTATTGGTGTATGTATTATTGCATGTTATAAAATACCCCTACTCTCGGTTGGTTTTAACCGTTAAAGTTAACTGACGCGTTTCTACACTTTCAAAAACGAAATTCTAAAGTGAAATCAGCGAAAAGTGAAGATAAAGAGATGCTGGTAATAGTTTAACACTTTGATTTTCTCCGACTTTTGTTTGATCCATTTTAAGGTACTGAGCCCCATTCAACAAAGCGATCGTAGCGCTAAGGTGATCGTAACTCCCATACTTCAACATAGACTTACGACTGTCGTAACCCTACGATCGCTTTGCGAGACGGGTCCCTGTTTGCTATCACATCCTTGATATTGAGGATGGTTTGTTACAGACCATCCTTACGTGAAGAACATCCGACTGGTCCTTTGTGTGCTAACAATCAGATGTTCGTAATCATATTGTCTCAATGATGTTCCCGTCTTCCAGGGTATTTACGGTAAACCAGTTAGACAACCATGATACAACTATTCAACCTCAAGGCAGTTAATACCATATCTAGTTTAAGCAGATTTATTCTTCCCAGTAAGCTAGAAGAAAGTAAACCGAACATTAACAGACATCAACCAATCACATCCATGATTCAAGTACACCATTGTCTTACGTTCATTGCAAATCGATTTCGGAAGGTTGGAACATATACGTTGTAAGTCCCACGTTATCCTTGGCCGAATATTCATCTCCACGAGACATCTCCAAGAAGTGCCATCATTACCAGGCTCTATTGGCACCATAAGCTGGAGCAGTGGATTTAGCTCGAGGGCGTGCGATAACTGGCTTTCAGTGCGCCGCATTAACTCTTCGTTCGGAGATACAAACTGATTAGGGCTTGGATTGAACAGCTGAGGCAGAAGCTACCTTTAACCGGAGGCATTCGTGCGTGAAATTACACGGTAAACCGGGATTGGGTCTTTAACGTGATTATTTGCTCTCTTCCACAAATCTCCACACACAGTTATCTTATTTCATTGAAGTAAACTGATTTAACTCATGCATCAAGGATTTCAGTTTGCATAGGTGCGAATTTGTAGGGGTTTTCGTGGTCATTTGTGATTGAAACCGTTTGTGGCAGTGATGAATGAAGGAATCTTTTTATGAGATGCGATGAAACGCCTCGACGAATTAAATCTGGCATATATCTTTTTTGTATCGACTGCAGGCGTGACCTGCATAGACCCACGAACAGCGATGTGTGTATGTATAGGATATATATATATACTGAACAGCAAAAGAAACGCAAGTTTCGAAAAAATGAAATTTCATGATGGTAAGCGTTCATGTTTATGGAACGTTCATGGAAAAGTGACGTAATGATCCAAGATGAGATGATGTGATGCAATTTGACGTCCATACGAACCATTCACACAAACACACCAACAGTGCAGCAAAACCATAAGTTTAGCACGTGCATCAACGGTTCTGGATGGAAAGCATGCATTTCACTCTCAGGTATTCTTTATAAAGGTTTGTGTCAAAAAACAGTTCAGTATTGACGCTAGGAGGTGTACGCAAACGATGCCTAGACTAACGACCGAGCAGAGGGGAAAGGCCATTGGAAAGTTGCACTGAGGTAGCTCTGCAACCGCTGTAGCTAGGCAATTGGGCTGTCATCTTACCACCATTACACGACTTGCTCAACGTCATCAGCAAACCTGGGTTGCTGCTGATCGTCCTCGTACCGGACGGCAACGAGTGACAATTCATACGCAAGATCGGTTCATCCGGGTCACTCATCTAAGGAACCGAACTCAGAAGCAGTAACAGCAGGAAGCAGAAACAGTAACAGCAGCCTTAGTTCTTGGGTAAAGTGGAGCAGTGTCCAGCGATACGATTAGGCGTCGTCTTCGGGCTGTTGGAATCCACTGCCGACGGCCATATGTGGGGCTAGTTTTGACACGTCAACAACGCCAGCAGCCCTCACACAGCAAGGGTGTCGATGGATCATCTGGCTCAGAACAACGTTAACATTTTTCCATGAGCGTCTCTTTCCCGGATATGGCTCCCTTTGAACATTCTGGGACGAAATTGGACAGAGGGTTTTGGCAGGTAGACAGCCACTCACACTTGCACAATTGGAATACAGATTGGTGTTTGAGCGGAACCAGTTGCATCAGGCAGTCTTTCAGACTCTAGTAAACTCAATGAGGCCACGTTGCACGGTCTGTGTGCAAGCTCAAGGTGGCTATACGTGCTACTAAAGAGACTGTCACTTTTCGCGTTCAGGGGTATCTCCATTTGACGGACTGTGATCAGTGTGAACTTATTGCAATTCAATGTCAACAGCAACTTTCAACTGTTAAAGTGACAGTGTTTTCTATAGAATAAATGATTAGACATGATTTTGGTTGTCTTCTATTAAAAAACCTGACAAAAGCCAGACTTGCGTTACTTTTGCTGTTCAGTATATATCTAACTAAGTAGCATTTACAGACATTAGCGATATATGATACTCGCACATTTTGGGTCACAGGACAATTTTGAGTGAGTGAGTGAGTTAAGATTTATCGTCACATCGGCAATATTTCAGCCATATCGGGACAATTTTGAAGTTTATTGGACACAATTATTTGGCTAGTAATGACACCTGGTCTCTTTATGTCGAACACCAGCCAAATTCACTTGTTTGATGTATGGCACAAGGTAATACAGACGCTTGGGTAAATGATGGCAATGAGTGATTTCTTCCTGTTGTCTTTACTGATTCCCATACATTTCCTCAAAAGCAAGAACAACAAACAATTCTACTCAAGCCAGCATTTGCGTAATTCCTGTGTTGTTTAAATGTTAACTTTTAAAACAATGAAAATAGTTTTGCCTATTAAGTGAATTATGTGACGTTGTGCTCCACTCAAGGGTCAATCCAGAACGATGCCATCAATACATCCTTTAAAATCAAAGGAAAAGTGTTTTTTGTTCGTTGTCGTCACCTACCTTGGTGATATATCTGATCCTTGTTGCATCAAGGCTCCGAGCGCAAACCATAACGTGTTACACAACGTAAACGCTGTACTTGCACTCTGACCTTCACCTGTGCATTCAACGTCCCATTCAAAGGGAGAAAACTTTCCCACAAGGAACAACACAAAGCTGACCGCCAAAAATCCGAGTGTAATGCATAGCCAGATGCTTTTGGAGAAGGGATCCATGAAGGAAAATATGCCTGGTTTTTGCTTGTCTGGGATTTTGATCATGATACTGATCCCTGTGTTCATGAAAGGCTTGGAGAAGTCAACCACACGCTCTCGTATTTTTGTGATCGTTAGTGGTGCAATGGCAACATCGGCTTCCTTTGAAAGAAAAAAAAATCATTTTAAATACACGGGCATGCTTTAAGAAAGTTACAATTTCGTTTAATACATTGCCTTACCGATACCACACAAGGCAATAACATGCTGGTTTCAAAACATCAGCTGGTCTAAACTGCAACTCTCATCTCTCGCCCTCCCCGACTGAATGATGTGAGTTTGTCAACAACATGTTTTTAGAATGCTTTTCAACCATGCTAAATCTACATGCTTCTGCTATCCTCGATTTTGTCAAAAAGAACATTGTCAACAACACGTTTCCTTGGGGGCCACATACTATTAACATTAAGTGGCAAATTGTCTCCCTTTGACAAGCGAATATTTTCTAATACAGAACCTAACAAATTATCTCCCTTTAGCTGATATCGAAATTGATGCTTTGTTTCGTTAATGATAGTTTTGTTCATATTTAAATTTATAAACATAAAAACAGAGTACATATCATATGATAATCCCCGGCATTTATAGAAGAAAGAATATGCCAAAAGGAAAAGACCCCAAATGTCATCTTCAATTCATACTGCTGTATCCTTCGCAGTGGAGATGCAGTAGAAGGTCACGGCGACCACATCGCCAATGATGCCATCATCACTGACAGAGGTTTTGGGAAGTACTCTTAACATCCACGAATTATGTCCCTTTGGAGGACTCTTCACAGTATTGACTTCCGTGCAAGTAATAACTTCCATAATTGAATCGCAGGATTTCTCACTTCTGTGTCGACTTAATATTGATTTTAATTATGGATTCTAATGTACCTGCATCTGTTCTGTATTCAACAAACTGAAGATGTACAACTGGTCCAGCTGGTCATTAATATCTTGACGAACAAGTGTACATGCACGTGCCTCTTCAGCCGGCCATTAGCATTGGAGGCCAGACATCTTGAGTCTTGCACATTAACTTCAGCTTTCCTTCACTTACACTATAGCAGGTCATTCATACCACAGTGTCACTCACTATATGACAGGTGCTCACTCACTACATATCAGCTGCACTACTTTCACGCACTATATGACAGCTGCACTACTTTCACTCACTATATGTCAGCTGCACTACTTTCACTCACTATATGACAGCTGCACTACTTTCACTCACTATATGACAGTTGCACTACTTTCACTCACAATATGACAGCTGCACTACTTTCACTCAGTATATGACAGCTGCACTACTTTCACTCACTATATGACAGCTGCACCACTTTCACTCAGTATGTGACAGCTGCACTACTTTCACTCACTATATGACAGCTGCACTACTTTCACTCACAGTATGACAGCTGACAGCTGCACTACTTTCAGCTCACTATATGACAGCTGCACCACTTTCACTCACTATGTATATGACAGCTGCACTACTTTCTGCATTACTTTCACTCACTATATGTCAGCTGCAGTACTTTCACTCACTATATGACAGCTGCACTACTTTCACTCACTATATGACAGCTTTACTTTCACTCAGTATGTGACAGCTGCACTACTTTCACTCACTATATGACAGCTGCACTACTTTCACTCAGTACGTGACAGCTGCACTACTTTCACTCACTATATGTCAGCTGCACTACTTTCACTCACTATATGACAGCTGCACTACTTTCACTCACTATATGACAGCTGCACTACTGTCGATCATATTATTTAAGCTGCAGTACTGACACTCAATTTATAACATGTTAACTCAAGTATATATCATCATCATTACTTTGAGAACAATTGCACCAAACAATTACAAATTGCAGCTGACATAGAGTGACTGGCAGTGGAGCAGCTAACATATGTGTCATGGAAGACAATCGTAATACAGTTGACTATATCCTATTGCAAGCTGACTGCACCTCTCTAATGAGTTCCCCGATCATGCCCGTCCACGAGTTGTTAGGCAGCCGTCCTCCGTACCCTCCATCTTTCACTAGCTCGATGACGTAATCAAACTTGACAAGTTCCGCCACATGTCGGGCGAGATCGACACAGTAGCCTTGGAAACGTTCATTTCCGGTGCAAGGGGAGCCATTGGGTGGACAATCCTTTATGACAAATGGATCAACCTGTGAAAGATTTCATATTCACCTATTGACATCAACCAATTACTGACAGTCCTGAAGTAAAATGACTGAATCTGATTAATATTTTCGAATATGTTTCATTTTACATACCTCATTAAACATGACTATTGTTAGTTCCTCATTCAATAAAACAATCAAAATAACATAGTCTTTAATCAACTTGTGGAATTAAAACGGACCGAAATACTGTGGCGAACTCACATCGTCTTCATAATTCGACACATCAGAAAACAACGTACTCAAGCATGTCTTGGGTTCAACCTGTGCGACGTAACTGACGTTTCAACCATACGTTTCTAAATTAGTTGTCATGCATGGTATTCTGTAGCGTATAGACATGCCGCGGAACGATATCTAAACATGCAAATGCTTGCCATGCCCTGACCAGTATGGTAGTGACTATCCTGGTTCTGTTTGCTGGTAAGGGAAACGTCTCCTTCTCGGGTCGAGCCATGCTTGTGTTGAAGCCGTCAGATTTAGACCAGGTGCCTACCTGTAATACACGTGTTATTCTATACAGGAAGAAGGTGTGCAGTTATAATTCTAAATGATACATGTGTGAACTTCCTTTTTTTGTGACTGGCTCTATCATTCATTCATTCATTCATTCATTCATTCATTCAGGTCACTTTTCAGTAGTGGCTCAGGTGATCGACATTTTTCAAGGAGCCGCAAGTTGTTATTCAGAACTGCATCCCTCAGGCGTGAAACAGCCCTAGTTTCCCCTGATTGAGAGTGAGTGAGTGAGTTAAAATTAACCTCACCTTGGCAATATTTCAGCCATGTAGTGACGAGAAAGGTTTTACACACACAATAAATATAAGTTGCAAAATAATCAGTCATCGAAGGACTGTAAAATAACTAGAGTATCACAGATGGAGTCTACAACTAGCATGTACATGTAAAACTATTTTATTTACGAAGACAATACAACATAAAAACGGGCTATAGGTCGCCAACAACTGAAGGTAGATCACCATACTAGGGACCATGGGGACTTACAGTGCTTTTGCTACTCCTGATTAAGACCAATAGTTTGTGAACACTATACCCGTGCTCGTTTGTTTCATATAAGCCCTGCATCAGGTGTGGTTTCACCCTATAACAAGTTGATAAATCAAGTATCAAGTAAAATGACTATGTCTATTTTCACCTGAGATTTCGTTTCGTCAAAATGAGTCAATACGATTTTGTTAAAATATCACTTTAGTTTCTGTTGGGCAACTGTGCAGGCCTTCTACCAGAGCAGGGGCCCACTTCACAAACCGATGGTAGCACTAAGACTCCATAACTTTTAGACGAACTTACGACACTCGTAAGACTATAAATGAAAGTAGCGTTGTTTAGAGTGACTCCACACGGCAGTTCCAGACATTATCGTACAGTAATTAGATACACTGACCTTTCTGAGTTTCTGTTTATACTCCAGCTGTAACACATCCAGTTTGTGACGTTGTCGGATACCACTGGAATGGAAACCAATCCTTTTGGAGCGTCCCCGTATCTTGACCTGACATGAAAAAAATATTATGATATAAGGAATAGTAAAGTTAATATATACTTCCCATCAAAAGTTCAGACTCACTAGTGTAAATATAGTCACTTACTACAGGCAACTTTTCTAAACTAAATTTTGCAAAATATTCCATACTGTTAAAAGGTACTGTTTACAATGAACTAATGTAATGTAAAACAAATTCTCAACGTTGAAAAGGTTATTGTCATGAGCTCAGTAAATGATAAAAATCAGTGAAAATTGACAAATTCTTAACCAAACGTTACACCAAAACGCAGCTGTTCACATGCACGATATTTGCACATGCCTTTCATCCATTTGATGCATGATCCTCGTGCAATTCATCTGCATAAGGTTTACAGTTGGTTCCCCCAAGTTAGTGGAGAAATCAATCTTCGATGTAACCATATATACTGAACCACAAAAGAAACGTCGCCTTTTGTTCTTACAAGGTGGTGTTTTTATTATGATTGTACCGTTTTGTTAACATGTTTTCAGTCCAAATTGACAGTTATTACCAACATCAGTGTGTTTTCTGATGAAAAGGCATATCGACCAAACGCACCGAAAAAGGCAGACATGGTAAAAGGTTCCGTATGACATTCGTGAAAATGAAATGCACGTGCATGTCGTGACAACCCTACCAATGAGAGCGAGTCCTAAACTCGTGTAAAATCATTTTTGTTTTGACACAATCGCCATGGCACGACTTACGAGAGATCAGAGGAACCAAGTCTTGGGACGGTTGCAAGTTGTCCAGACTGCACGGAGGGTAGCCACTCATTTTAATGTTCATGTTAGGACAATCTACCGACTGCAGGAGTGGTATCGGGTCACTAACAGCATCCAAGACCGTTCACGCAGTGGACGACCTGCAGTAACATCACAACGTCAAGACCGACAGATTGTGCGCAACCATCTGTAGGATCGCTTCCCAGAGCGATGGAAACAGCTCGCCAGACCATTGGGACTCACAACAGACCCATCAGTGCCGATACAGTGCGTTGACGTTTGCGCGAAAGATAACCTCTGCTGTCACAGACCATATCGTAGTCCTGTCCTCACCGCTCATCACCGCCAAAACCGACTGCAATGGGCAACTCAGCATCGAAATTGGCGTTATCGACAATGGAGAACTGTGCTTTTATCTCATGAAAGCCGATATTGTGTTTCGACAGTCGATGGCAAAGAGTGAGAGTATGGTGAAGGCGTGGGGAACTGTTTTCCATTAGTGTATTGTTGAAAGAGACTCGTGGGGTGGTCCAAGCATCATGGTGTGGGGTGCAATTGGTCTGAACCAGATAGTTTGCATCGTGGTGTTGCAGAATCTCGGTCCAGGATGAGGAAATGACGTGACAGCTGCTCGCTATATTGACCAAGTCATAAGGCACCACGTTGTACCACATTATGGACGTTATCACAGAAATCACATCTTCCAGCAAGACAACGCTCGTGCGCTCATTGCCAGAGCAACATTGGACTTCCACGACAACATGACATCCAAACCCTACAATAGCCTGCAGTCACTCCGGATAGGAGTGTCCAATAGGACACCTTTGGGACGAGATTTTAAGAAGACTGAATGACCTCCAACCAAGGCCGACAACTGCGGCTGGACTGTATCAGGCATTTCGCAGAGTATGAACCCAAGTGCCTATGGCCTTCATCAACCGGCTAATTCATATAATGATAACATACGAACATGCATATGTGCTCTTATATCATGCATATGATGCACTACGTTCCTCCTTCACAATGTTACTCGCTACGAACCGTTTTGACCCCATACCCATCTTAACACAGCGTAAAAAGAATCGAATGGGGTACAGGTGTATATGCGGTGTGAATATAAGTATAAGAGAGTGAATTTACATTAGTCAAAACTGCTGAGCGAGTGAGAAGGCCTTATCGACGGTTTCAACTGCATTTTAATTATTCGACGCCTCGATGAATGGTTGGTCACTGGATTGTCTGGTCCAGACTAGAATATTTACATATAGCTGGAATACTGCTGAGTGCGGCGTTAAACCAACCAACCAACTAACCAACCAACCAACCAACCAACTAACTCAGATGAATGGTGATAAGGTTCAGGCCAATTGACTGCCCCAAAGACTTTGTCGTGAAAACTTAACTTAGTTTGCTGGAGTGATGTTCTGTGAAGATCGTCAACATTATTGTTTATCTTTGATCCTAGTATGCATCAGCGGATCATCGCAATTATTAAAGAAGGCAGCTCTGCACGGGGAATCCGAGAGCATAAACTAAACCAAATATTCTTTATATGTCTACTCGAGTGGGCAATTTGGACCTTTGGTGATGTGGACAATGCAACAACAGGAAATTGCATTTCAAATCCGTTTCTTTAATACATGTATTTGGATAGTGTGCAGTGTTGTATTGGAAAACAACCATACACGGGCGCAAGATCACAGACTGTATCAATACTCATTAATCGTCTCTTGCGTCATACATGTATGTAGGACACTGAAGAACTGTATCCCACGTCCACACTCCGCAGAGCGCGTCTATTTGTGCGGTTACGCTTGTCTCAACGGTATGCGTAAATCTAATGAAGGTTGAGAGTTTCATTTGCCATATTTGAATTGTAATGTCAGTATGCGTAGAGAACAAAAGCAAAGGTCACACTGCAATAATCAAACGCACATTACTGGCAATGAGATATTATGTTCAATATCGCTCCACAGAATATCAGACAAGCACGACTTAATGGCTACAAGCGTTGATACATAAGTCTAAGGGATCGATAAAACACAGATTTTTACTTTCCTACATTTTGAAAAGATGCAGGATTACCATTAGTAGGGTCAAACTGATCGCCCTGTGCCAATACATATACGTAATTAGGTCATAATGCTGACATTTATGACGCATCACCTTGGTAATGGCCTTCTTGATGGTGAATCCGTGCGTCCACGGTTTGATGGGGAAGTCTCTGCACTTGACGCCCCGGGTGCCATCATTGTACACTTGTCCGTGTCGGAATGTCCGGTAGATGTCTCGGTCGGTTGGACTGTCCAGCAGGAGGTTGAACGCCCGGGACACCACCTTGATTCCGTCTGCGGCCAACGCAGCTTCAGTCTGGGCAGATACAGGACATGCAGGCATTGTTAGTGATGTTCTTATACGTAATGAGTGCATGTAACTGTGGAAGATAGTGGTGGGTGAGTGGGTGAGTGGGTGAGTGGGTGAGTGGGTGAGTGAGTGAGTGAGCGAGCGAGCGTGCTGTTTAATGTCGCACTAACCAATATTCCAGCTTTATGGCGGCTGTCTGTAAATATTCGAGTCTGAACCAGACATGTGAACGATGAAGCAGCTTGGATAGTTAGTGAGTGAGTGAGTGAGTGAGTGAGTGAGTGAGTGAGTGAGTGAAAATGCAATTTCGATTTAAGGCCCACGTGATAAAGAAGAAAGTCATTCACTACTTTTTGAAACACGGTGGTTTTGGCGGACCAAAGGTAGTATGTTAACATTATAGTCATTATAGTCTGTGTTGAAAAAAACAAACAAACATGCAACTTTAGCAGAGGTTTCCATGTCTACCTGGGTAGTGATGACAGATGAATGGCCATCATTAGATGTCCATAACAACAGCAACAGATCCAACAATGAGTATTTGTGATGAAGATGATGATAATGAGGATGTCGATTATATTGTGCTAGATATTTTTATGATTCAATTATGAATCATGACTGAAAGTAACATGTTATATTTGGGATTACACGTTCTCAGTAAAAGTACAGATTGTAGTACCTTTGTTGGGTTGAGTCCCATCCGGGATTCGAACCCACACTCTTGAAGTCAGGCAGCGCACAAAGTCAGCCATCTAACCCACTCAGCCATTGCGGCTTCCCCAAACTGGCATTCTGGATGGGACTCAACCCAACAAAAGCACTAGATTCTGTACTTTACTGACAAAGTATAATCGCAAATATAAGATATGTTACATTTGCCCACTTCCTTAATGGCGTGTGTTCATGACTTTAAGGAGTATGTTAGATGCAGATGGGAAACCAGCGTCTCTATCACTTCTTGAGTGAAAATATTAAAATACATTAACTTAAAATATATATTTCAGATGGATGATTTGATTCTCTACAAGTACACGTGGTGGTACTTGACGTAATTAGAATACGATCCGCGTTACTGTCAAAATGACGTTTCAGTTTGCAAAACTAATAGGAACGCTGACGTGAACCTGTAGAAAAACTCATGTTCCTTCTGTAAACAATACCGACACAGATAATCCATTTCCATCTCATTACTTAATCCATTCCAAAACGGGTTTTAAGTGTCGGTCATCAGAGAGCCAGATCCACATTACAATCGGAAAATCTCAGGGAAATATTGACCTAATAATAAAAGCTTTTCGACATATGTTGAAAATCGGCTTGTTTTGATGAGCATTGTTAATTCAATGGGCACGAGGTGTACACAGATCGCCATCAAACATTAATCACTCACTCCGCTCCCAGAGGAAAGTGACATTTGGAACACGTGCTATCGGGTTAAACCATACAAAGGCTGCTTGCACCCGTGAAATGATTCTGGAAATGGAATTAACGTGTCCCCTCCAGCCCCATCAGGCACAAGGCAACCAATCCGGAATCTAAACCAGTGTCCATTATGCTATTGACATAGGAAATAGAAAACTCATGTCCAGCCTCACCGATTCTCGAAACTTCAGAGGTGTCGGTTTACCTAACCGGTTTAGGTTCCTCCCATGGGTGATGCCAGCTCTCATATCCTCAGACATGCTCTCCCCACGGCGAGGCTCCAGCAAACGGAAACCGGTTACGTTGACCCCTCCGTGTAGAAATGATTTGAGGTCTAGTAGTTCGATATCCTGCAATGCACAATATTGACGAAAGCGATAAACATACATGCATGGATATGATTACCGTATTGTGAGATAGGCAACAGGACATTGATTTAGGAGACATGATACATGTTCGGCCTACTGCCGTTACTTTAATAACACTTATGGTAGAAAAGCCACAAGTACGAATCAATGTTTCATGTACAATTTGATTCACTTTCAAAGTTCATACGTTTAAAATGTGGATATTCTTTAGAAAAGTTTGTAACCAGGGCCGTGTGCATGTAAATGTTAAGATTAAACTAATTTGACCAATTCTGAAAGCCGAAGTTAAAACACACACACACTGCATTGAAAGGTTCGTGACTCTGGAAGAAATCAGGTCCCATGTGAAAACGACCTCCTTTTCCGCCCACATGAATTCTGTTTTTAGTACCTGTTTTACCAGTGAAAGATTGACAATGCGTGATGCTTAATCTTGCACGCTTTGAAAAACAAAAACAGTTTCCCTAAGAGATTTGAAAAAAGGAATCCACAGACACTGAAATATAATGACTCCAATGATGAATTTGCCAACCATGTTCGAGTAAAGGCATGTTTGTAGTCGCTTTTAACTCCTAAGCTAGCTTTATGAATGATAAATTGGTACTGACCCACAAATGCCATTCACCAATGATGTGATTGACGTGAGTCTGGCAACCGATATTAAATAGACATGGATGAATACATTTCATGGAGAGTAAACGTCAAAATATTACGCTTTGATGGGCACCTTTTCGTTATTAACGCCTGATTGGAATGGCATGGAAGACTACGCGAACAGTCTGGAGTGTAGGAATCGGGCGATATTGCTGTATGTTGGAATAATACCGACCACGCCCTTTCCATAACCATAAGAAATCTCTGCGAAAAGCAGAGACGGTTGTACTATATTTTGAGCCTGCTTTTGTTAGTACAAAGCCTCAGTAAATAAGGCGGTCTGTAAATAATAGTATCTGGACCAGAAACTCCAAAGATTGGCGTCATGAGATACGAATCACTATCAAATAGTGATGATACAAGGTGTTCTTTAAAAGGTGAGCGGATCCTGCCCCACCGGTGGCATAACCAAATGCAACTAGTCAATTGATCACCGTAACAAAACAGAACGTAGACATTAAGACAGAGATTTGCATCATTTTGGACACTGATGCATCAAGTTTGTCCTCCATATGTTTACCATAAAAGTTCTTGAAAGCTTTACAAAGACCTTGAATGCTGCACCTTTGAACAACATCTTAGCAAGAATTGCACGACTCTCTTTGACACCTTAGTAAACTGAACATTGTCGATTGTACATCAAAAGTTGTGTTTACAAGAAATTGTTTCCCGCCATGTGAAAACAACATCTCTGACTTCACATGGAACTTCGATCATAGGATGAAATATAAACTGTTGCTATAATTGTGTTTTCGGCTCCGTTTATTGTTTTGGTCCAATAGTAACGGTTTTCTTTTCATTTTACAATAGAGCATCCTTATATATCAAGATTTCACAGAGCGTCATTGGACGCTTTCTCAGGAGGTTTTCGATCAACATTCCCACATGTCAGGTCACATTGACAAAAAGGACGTCCGTTACAATTCCTTATTTCGACTTGTTCAGTAGGTATTTTAGGCGAACAATTGACTAACCTAGCACTTGGATAGAGATTTTTTATGAATATGGAAAGGGTCTTGCACGCCTGTATGTAGAAATCCATGAACTGTACCCAACGATGAACAGGTTGTACTTGATATTAGGTTCCATCTTGCATTCATGATAATCAGTGGTACATTTACAAAACGTTCTTCGGTAATCTACCTTTAACGCCCAGTGAAATGTTTAATGAATAACGGAGATTACCTATCCTGAAGTTTTAATACATTTGCGACCAAGACGAGCAATAGACATGGCTGAGTTGACGTACATGTATTCAGAACCATTTCATGACACAAATACGATCGTAATTTAGTATGTATGTAATTCCTCGTTTCTCATGAGGGCACGCGGAGGTCAAGGTCAAAGGTCAGTTTAATGTCCACCTCGGAGATGGAACTGGAGATGTTGAGTTATGGGAGTATTGCTAACGATTTCGAACATAACCAATGTCAACCTGGCTATCAAGAATCCACAGAGTCATGGGGCGCGTAAGGGACATCACTTTACAACGTTAAGTCCGTCGCCTTGAACAACTGACTGCGGAGTTCACATACTCATTTTTCCAACCCTGTTATATTCAAACATTCACTATGCAGGGAAGGCATATGAAACTGATGTCACAGACACTGAAACATAGCAACCTAAATAATAATCGCTCACAAACCGGGCCCGCGATGACGTAATGATAGTCTTCTCTGTTCATACCCACGTCAACAATCTGCAAAGAAGGACGAAAGTATGTGAGAATGTTATGATTACAATTTGATTTGTTTGTCTGTTTGTTTATTTAACACCGCCCTCAACAATATTCCAGCTATATGACGGCGGTCTGTAAATAATCGAGTCTGAACCAGTGGCCAGCATAATGGGCATCGAATCCATCGATCTAGACAGTTGAGATACAGTAACATGTATCAACCAAATAAGCAAGCCTGACCTGTTACTCCTGTTACTCGCCTCTTACGACAAGCATTTGTTGCTAAAGACCAATTCTCTCATGGATCTTCACGGGTCATTTCGATTGGATACAGTAATGCACTGATTAGGATTGAACACAACGTTAAACTATACGCAAGCCATAGCAAGGTGTGTAAACAGTGGGAAAGGTAAACTGACTCAGCGTGTTGACAGCAATGAATTGTGATGTCAACCAATGATCATAATCGGGGCGATTCATGGATTTGGGGACCTGTTGATGTACCATCAGTGCAAATCAGTGTAATGAATACGACAGAAATAGTGCTTTACATTTGCTGTAGGCCAGACTACACTATGTTCCTAACCAAGTTATAACGTGTACAGGATAGAAAATAGTACAAAACACGCTTCTTTTCACACCACAGGTAGCTTTTTGTCGGACCAGGTAGCAGCCATTGGGGTGGGGGTGTCCATAATCATTATGATATGTTCCCTCAATGTGGAGAATGTATCCCTAACGGAACGTGTGTCTTGGCACACGTTAGTATTTCGCAGTCTGTCAAATAGTGTATGTTCAACATTACCGATATCGTTTTCGATGTCTGAGGTCGATGGCGCGCTATTATCAAAGCACCCCAACACTTGTTACAGACCGTGTTTTTGCTGTTTACTACATGATACATTTTCAGATATATTATATGTGTACATATACATTTCCTCATTTTGTATCCCGTTGAGACCATACAAAGAAAATGCCTGCAAACTGGGGGATATTTGAATAAAGTATATATTTCGGTAAATACATTCTACATGTACAATACTTTAAAGCAGTCATTGTGGATCTCTGTGTACATTGTATGGATGCCAAGTTATATCCCTGTCTCCTTGCACGACAAAACACATATTCCTATATGAGCAAATCCAATGATGTGTCTCTCGCCTTGTCTGTCGAACCTAACACGTAATATCACTTCACACCAAGAACCAAATACACGTTTTTTAAAAATAACCAGTAGGACAGTCGAGAATGAGGTCTTCGATGGTCATCTCATTATCCAGACTGTTGTCAATCAAGCTGTGCAACCATCAATCCGTTTTCGCCATCTGCCTGAACACTTGACCCCAGCATCATTTCAAAGTGTACATAACTTCAATGATCTAGACATACCTATATAAGATCTCTATTGGTCTAGACGGTCTGCCATATGGATCCACTGGAGGCCAAACACTCTCAGTGATGGTCAATTTGACTACCTCTCAGACTATTTGGTGAATGGCAGTTGGATTAGACGTTTATTGTTGGAAACTGATACCAAAATTAATACGAATAATTCCCTCGCTATTACGCGTTGTCGATTATAATGGAATCAACACATATCTCATATGGGGCCTGATTAAATGTCATTCACTTTCGTGTGGGTTTGAGTAACTTGACAGGCAGGCTATCATTTTGTAACTTGTCATGTCGCTGTAAATGGGAAACGTTTTCATTCAGGGAATATATTGAGCCAGAAACATACTTAATGGTGATGTGTATCATGGGGTTTCATCTCATGCTTTGCTACGTTTGGTGCAAACCGGTTTTACATAAAGTCATATTGTACACCTAAAACTGGTATTTGTCAATTCATTACACAGATGATTAAAATATAGAAGTGTGTTTCTGATATGGTCGGAATTGTTAATGGATTATGCTAATTGCAGATATTTCTCATGATAATTTTCACTTCATATTTTTCATGGTATTTTCATCTCGATGATTCATTATCGAACATAAGTAACTCACTCACGTTATTTATGCATACTACAACAAAATTTTGGAAATTATGATTTATTAATTATAGAATCGCTTAAGTGGACGTTTACAACCCCGTGGCGTTGAATCTGAAAGAAACGTCTAATAATGATGAAATTGCACATCATTCATGAAACAACACGGGATGCACCTTGTCGCTCAGACACATGTGTCCATCACTATACCTATAAAGATAACTCAGATACTTACATATACGTGTGTCTCTTGTGTCCATTATAGACTGCTCGGATAAGTGTACATGTACATGTATGTGTCATGTCTGTCAATTATTGTACAGGCACAACTCTGAAACGTTTGTCTGGAGGTATATCTCGTGTACACAAGTGTACATGTATGTGTATCGTGTGTTCATTATTGAACATATATATCTCAGACACATGCATGTATGTGTGTCTCCTATGTCCATTATAGGCCATTTACAGCCCAGACACAAAAGTGTACTTGTATGTGTCTCCTGTGTTCATTTTTGAACAGTTAAATCTCGGACATGCACGTGTGTGTTTTGTGTCCATTGTAAACCGTTTACAGCAAGACACAAAATGAACCGGTATGTGTCTCCTGTATTCATTTGAACAGTTGTATCTCAGACACATACATGCACGTGTGTGTTTTGTGTCCATTGTAGACCACTTACAGCCAAGACACAAACGTGTACCTGGATGTGTCTCCTGTGTTCATTATTGAACAGTTATATCTCAGACACATACATGCACGTGTTTGTGTTTAGTGTCCATTCTCAGACCATGCACGTGTTTGTGTTTAGTGTCCATTGTAGACCATTTACAGCTCAGACCCAAAAGGGTACCTGTATGTGTCTCGTGTGTTCGCTATTAAACATATCCCATCTCTTACAAGAGTTGCTACAAAACAATCGTTATCAAGGACATATAAATCAAAGATGTTCACAGACGGCGAACAAAGGTCTTGCATATTTTATGTGACACGCTGCAACTTTGCACGTTCTTTCCACAGAACCCAGCCGCCGACTTTACTTGGTTTGTCTGTGAGCAATAGGCCAAATCTTCGTCTTAGATTAGGAGATGGTTAAGACAGTTTCGTACTTCTATCGTCACTTTAAAATCTCACACGAATACTTCATTAAAATTATACTTGTATAAACAATGTTTTTTTTCTTGCTTAACACCGTGTACAGAAACTTTCATCGTACAAATAAGCGAGCCTGACCATCTGATCCTGGTAGCTCGCCGACTTGGTTGATGCTTGTCTTGTACCTGCTCATAATATGCTTCTCCTAATTGTTCATATTGATATTCATGATGTCAATCACATGGTTGTCTGCTCCATCAATACATAAATGTTTATGATAAATATTGGGTGGACTAATTTCAACAATGGCGAGTGTGTAATGGTATTGAACGTGGGTCCCGTTTGTGAATTTGTTGGAAAATGTCATGTGACAAAGAAATTTGTCCACTGTGATCTGTTTAACCTGGCTGGACTGTTCAACTCGAAAATTAACATCTGCCTAATTTTGACAAGACAATTCCCACTTTGGACAATTTTCGCTTTGGACAATTCCCACCTTTGACAATTGTCGCCCTGGACAATTTCAGCTTTGCTAATTACCATGAAGAGTTAATTAAAGCAGCAGCCTGAGGGAGTTGACTGATAAAGGTTTAACAGATGCACTGGCTTTACATTTTGGTGAAAAATGTCAAAGCACAAAACACCCATTTCATTCTCGTTTTCCCCTGCCCATGGTTGTATTTTATCACTCGCAGGTGAGACTTGTCTGAAAATATGGTGGGAATTGTCCTAAATGGAAGTGGGAATTGACGTAGATGTTGATGGGGAATGTCGGTGTGTAATGATCAACATGTACACATGAACTGTAACATGTGGAATTCACTTAAACGTAGGTATATATGGAGATGAGAATCGACCTATGTTAAGGTTATACTGACCTGGCATTTTGGTGGAAATCAACTTTGATGTTTCTTGGCAATGCTTTTATTGTAAGTGAGAACTAACTGATATGTGGAGAACATTAACTTGCCTTTGCATGTGTTTGTGTCGGGGGCCACCGGCGACGCAGGACGCGTTCACCTTTTCGCGAACAACATCATTACTGTTTTATAGTGAACACTAGCTATTATATTGTACAATGGCCTGAGCTGTTCCCAGTGATCGTATATAAGTATGGAAAATTGTACTGTCTCTTGTATTTGCATGAAACGTACCGTACAAAGGGAATTTGTTTGGAGACAATTGCAATAAGTGTAAATTTCTAAAAGAGAAATAACATATGTTATATTTGGAATTAAAGTTTCTTAGTAAAGTACAGATTCTTGTACTTTTGTTGGGTTGAGTCCCATCCTCTGAGGGTGTGGGTTCGAATCCCGGATGGGACTCAACTCAACCCAACAAAAGTACTAGAATCTGTACTTTACTAAGAAAGTGTAATCCCAAATATAACATATGTTACATTTGACCACTTTCTGAAAAATGGCATTGTGTAATCATACCTATAGTCAGTAGGGAATCTGAATGCGTATTTTCCAGGCGTGATTTTACTTGCTGGTTGATTCAACTTGGACACCCTTTTAATTTTTTTACACGATATCAACAACACAGTTTTCAGTTTCAAACACCTGAAATGATGCATAACATTAGTAAAACAAAGAAGATTTCATCATGAAGAATGAAACTCACTTGATTGAGGAAAACTTGATACGAAGAAACATTCCTTAAGGACACCACAATTCTCTTCCTATAGACCCGATCAGATCGGTCTAATTTTCGTAGAACATCACGTGACATTGCAACAGCGCGGAGTCTCTGAGCATCCACAACTAGGCTTGTATTGGGTTCTCTAAAGGCATCATAGATGTTCTGTAATTGCCAAAGTCCTACAAAAAAGGTTTTCGACACAAAATGCATGTCAATGGTTGTTATTTCTTTTTTCGACTAAACCATCAGACACCATTCTCACAAAATTATCCTATATTTCTCTATAAGCTTCAGGCTCCAGCATGGCTGCCAAATGTTTCCATCGAAGTCAGTGTCAAATAATGGGAATGTAAACGGGCTTTAATTACGAGAAACTTATCAACTGTTTCATATTGACAAATTGTCCCTTCATGGCTTAGCAAACAAATACAGTTTGCATTCACGATTTTAATATCGATTTGTTAATTAGAAGTGAAATTTTATCCAATAAAGTCAATTGTTGTATTCTTCTTTCGTTCAAAATACCAGTACGATTACACAAATCTAGGTCCCAAGAGACCGTAAATAATGCACTCGAAACCATTCAGTAAAGAGACAATTTTATAAAATCAATCGCAAAACTATTCACTGATTGCAAGGCATTAAGCGCCACATACAATTCTTTAATCAATAAGAAAACACAAACAGCGCGAACAGAACATTACTCCTAAATAAACTTACCGTCGTCGGAATCAAACAAGAAATATATTTTTGACCATCCATAAAATTTGATTATATCGATGACTGCACTGGTGTAAGACGGGCTGATGCTGATGTCGTAAGCGTAGCCGTCGCCGGGTTCGTTCCTTGTCGGCGTGAATAGAAAGTAGGGGATTTTTAACGCTTGGCTGTACGATTGGATTGTGTTGTAAGAAGCCGCACTGCTGGCCCCGAAAAGAATAAAAACTCCCCTGTCGAGCTGATCACATACTGAAATGAAAAGACGTTTATTAACGCGCATAAGTACAACATTTAACATGGTGTTGTTAACGCCGTGCTCTTCAATATTCCAGCTATATGACTGCTGTCTGTAAACAATCAGGAAACGTCGGGGTACGATGACATGCAACAGAAAGAACCTAAGCACACAACCACCATCTTCAGCCTCCAGGATTGAGTGAGTTTAGTTTTACGCCGCTTTTAGCAATATTCCAGCAATATCACAGCGGGGGACACCGGAAATGGGCTTCACACTTAGTACCCATGTGGAGTTCAGCCTCGAGGAACATACATGTATGTCAATAAGGAATATGCATGGGTAAAGGAATTACGGAAGAGTGAATGAGTGAGTTTAGTTTTACGCCGCACTCCGCAATATTCCAGCTAAATGGCGGCGGTCTGTAAATAATCGAGTCTGGACCAGACAATCCAGTGATCAACAGCATGAGCATCGATCTACACATTTGGGATACGATGACATGTTTCAACCACGTGAGCGAGCCTGACCACCCGATCCCGTGAGTCGCCTCTTGCGACAAGCATGGGTTGCTGAAGATCAATTCTAACCCGAAGTTTCACGGGTCAATTACGGAAGAGAAGGAGAGGGGAATTTTTTACCCGAAATTATAAGAATACACGGGTTGCACTTTAAATGTTCAAGTCTGGTATAAAGAAACCAGAATTGAATGAGACATAATTTGTATTGCGGTACGATGAAATAATTTCACCATGAAACATATTGTTACCATTTGATCCTACGTTTAATCGCGCTTGGAGACAGACATGTGCGAAGGGATGATTTTACCACCATACAGTCTAGTATTTGGGAGATATATCTGAAAGTTAACTAAAAACTCCTACGCTCAATGAGATTAAAATCCCGCACACGATGAATTTGTCGAGAAAGTGAGTTTTTCATATAATATATATAAGAGTTTAAGAGTTTTATCTAATTTATTAAACAAGTGGAACATCTAGCAATAAATTCAACTGGAGCCAAATGTCCGACGCAGGTTACCCCTGCCAACAATGTGGATGGCGTCATGTATATGTTGGAATAATTCACACCCTCTTCCGCGTCTAATTTTATCATACAAAAACACACACCAAAACATCAATTTTTATTACAAGCCAACAATGCAAATTTTAACAGGTCTTAAGATAGCCAATAATTTTTTTCCCAAAGGTTCGTGTGGCCAATATAGTAGCGAGTTTGAAAATTATACTAGACATGCCATGCGTCAGGGGTCGAATCCCAGTAACGGGGAATGTGTAAACAAGAGACATGTGTGAGTGAGTGAGTGAGTTTGGTTTTACGCCGCTTTTAGTACTATTTAAGCAACATCACGATGGGGGGACACCAGAAATAGGCTTCACGCAATGTGTCCATGTGGGGAATCAAACCCGGACCTTCGGCGTGACGAGCCAACGCTTTAACCACTAGGCTACCCCAACGCCCTATGTAAAGAAAAGCAAATGTAAAGTCTGACATAGATTCCAAGAGATTCGACATTATTTCTCAGGTATGTTATAAAAATGTCTATATGTTTTCAGTAATACATTGAATCGGTGGATTATTATGAGACAGTGACAAAAATACTCAATATAAAATATGTTATGCTGTTAAAAACAATATATGTTAAAACGTTTATACAGTACAACCAGAAATTTTTGAGAATTTAAAGATTGTAAATTATTATTTTTTTTTCACTCATTACGTATTAAATGTGAATATTAGCAGAACATAACTCCAGATTCAAAGACAGGTGAACAGTTAGTATTTTGTCAAGTCACCATGGGCAGCAATGCAGGCTTCAATGCGGCGGGGCATACTACTGATCAAAGAAGTTAGAAAGTCGTGGTCCATGCTGTCCTAATATCGGACCACCTCTTCTTTCATTTCAGCAATATTTGTCAGATTCTTCTTATTGACACTTTCCTTCATAATCCCCAAACATTTTCTATTGGATTTAGGTCAGGGCTATAGCTTGGCCAATCTAATAATGTCATATATTGGGTCCAAAACCAGGCCTGTGAATGCTTTGAACGATGTTTTGGGTCGTTGTCCTGCTGGAAAATCCAAAAGTTTCCATAGAACACGTGAGCAGATGGAAGTAAATGTCCCTCGAGAATATCTCTGTACCGCTCACTGTCCATATTCCCTTCAAATACACAGAGGGGCGTTGCCCCTAACACAGATATGCCACCCCACACGTTAAATTTCGGACTGTACTTTGGGCGGTGATACAAAGGTTTATCAATTTGTTTGGTCCAGAATGTCAGTGTATTAGGAAACAGCCACACAGAACTTTCATCTGAGAAAATCACATTGTCCCAGTTAAAATTTCTATGCTGTAAGCACCAGTTCAACCTTCGCTCCTTTTGTTCAGGTTTCATGATTGGTGATGGAATTCCTCGACTTTTCTGCCAACCCATTGCATGCAGCTCAGTTCTAATTGTCTCCTTACAGACAGCCACAGTTCCTCTATCAATCATATCCAGCCTTAAGTTTTCTAAACTCCTTCGTTTGTTTTTAGAAACAAGAATACCAAGCCGCCTCCTGTCACCGACAGTCAATTTTCTGGGCCTACCTGCGCCTCCCTGGTGCTCAATGCCATATCCATTTGCAATATTTTTCAAAACACGATAAACAGTGGACAAAGGGATGCCTGTTCTACTTGAAATCACTTTAGCTGATCTGATGTCCTTGTTATAATACTCTAAAATCAACTTCCCCCTCTCTCAATCATCCATACTGAGGATCACTGAAAATGTCGTCTGCTAGCAAGAAAACAAAGGGGATAACTCTTCACAAACTAATGAAAAAGGATTAACGGAGTTGTCTCTCTTAAATGAGGCCAAGCACTTGATAGCTGGTCAAGGTTGTTTATGCTAGAAATCCAATTAAACATATTCCTAAAATTCTCAATAATTTCTGGTCATACTATATGTACAAACATCATTTGTTGTATGGCAGTATAATTTATTGTTTTTGTTGTAACCTTTTGTTGCAGCAATTATTAATGAGATAATTTAAGTGAGCAACGCCTCTGTCATCTCCCATAACATCACACCCAGGAGTTTTGTGTCATTCCGGAATATCCAGCCTACGCCCAGTTTGAAAACGTGACCACTGTGACGGATATTCGTATCACGTTATTCCAATGAGCACTGTACTACTTGATACTGCCGTTCTGATGCTCCTGCAAGTGAATATGATCCTGCCATGCTATTGTGTATAACCACTGTAATTAATAAATGTGGATTGATTTGTAAAATCAGTTAAATAAAAATGGAAATGTAAAACTGCATAACATTTCTTTGCTATTTGTTGACTTCATGCTGTTTCCGGAAGTCGACATGTAACGTGATATCATATTATAACAATAATTGCATTTTAGTTTTGTAACAATAAATTTACTATAAGGATGTTACAGTGGTATCAGCTGCAACAAAATTCCTGTACAGAATGGCTGCCTTGTGATCCTTGGATCTAAGGGGCGGTGGGGTAGCCGAGTGGTTAAAGCGTTCGTTCGTCAGGCCGAAGACCCGGGTTCGATTCCCAACATCGGTACAATGTGTGAAGCCCATTTCTGGTGTCCCCCGCCGTGATATTGCTCACTCACATTGCTTGGATCTAATCCCATAATGCCTGATTTTGTTTCTTGGTTTACTAACATCAGTTCCATGGACGTGGGTTTCACTTACACGGTAAACGTCTACAAATGATATACTTGTAATGAACATAAATCAGAGTCAAACCATACTCATCCGTTGAGTACTATACTCTGTACAATATATATGCGCATGCTTGTGTGTCCTTAGTGAACAGTTCTGTTTGTTGCTTTAAGGCGTAGGGCATGGTACATGTTTTTCATCTACGGCTTCAAGAAACCTGTTTTCTTTATTGACCGTCGCTCATCCTTCAAGAACAACCTTCCACCTTTTGTACGTTCTCAGTCCCAAGTGGACTAAACATAAAAGTTCAAACTGCCACACAAAAATAATCCATGAAGACAGCTTTCACATATTAAGAGAACTTACAGCCAACTGTATTGATTTGTGTGAACTTTCTGGAGCTTGTTTTGATTGGTTTTGTAAACTCTTGTATGGAAAAAGCCAAGTCAATATGTGGAGTTGTAAATTATAAGAGTAAAGTCAATATTTAAAAAAACCCACATCTCTGTATATTTGTGACTTTAAATTATTTATATCTGACAAAAAAGACGATTACTGCTAAACCAAGATGGCTTAAAGGCGATGTTGAGATATTTAGATGCTTTTGGAGCATCTATAGATCAATATAGCAATGGACACAATAATGTCTAAAACACTTGAAACATTGAATTCATCATAACAATCCTGGAGAGGAGAGAGTGAGTCATGACTTCAGGAACCCATGTATCTTAATATATTGAGTTTCTTACACTTCTCATCAGAACTAAGATTCGGTACGCTCCATCCTCAGTGTTTAGATATGGAACAAAGTGAAAAAGGTTGGAACAGCTAGGAGTCAATATACACAACGAGGCTCTCCTTTCAAATGTTGCAGTAAAATGAGTGATAGACGTATGACTGTGGGTGAGTGAGTTGTTTATGCTGTCTTGAAAAGTATTTCACTAGTTTCGCGGCGTTTCATTATCTTGAAGGGATCCCAATATAGTTAAAGAGGTCTTACACGTTTATCACTTTGGTAAAACCTACAAATCAAACATTCCGAAAAAGCAGTATTGGTCCCTCCTATATCTACGGAAGGCAAATCTGCACGGGCTGTTCCTTCCCTTACAATGGCCGTATGTAAAATGTATATATTCAAACAGATCCTCGAATACCGTACAAAGGAGTGTCTTATGAACTGGGAAGCAACGTCCTTGAAAATGTTACTTGAAGCCGTGAAAAAATCATTGTATTTACATATAGTCATTGTATACATCAATAACATAAAACATACACCCAGGATCAGTACATCATGAGATGAAGATATACAATGTATATAAGGATCATACACACAGTCATCATAACTAATAGCATTGTTTTCATTACTTGAAAATATGTATACATATTTGCAAAAGCACTGAGATACGTAAATACGTATCCTTCTGGTATACCTGAAGTCATGCACAACGGGGTATAGAAACTGGTCAGATGTAACATACGTTATATTATGATTATCCTTTCACACTACAGGTACAGATTGGGGTTACGTCCATCTGGGATTCGAACCTACAGAGTGAGGAACCTTATCAGAGCTATCCTACATGCACGAACTCTGTAAAGACAGAGCGCATGCTCTTATAGACTTGTATGAATTCTACCTGCAACTGTGAATGTTTATTGGTTGTTTAACTACATGACGTGGGTGTGTAAATATTAAAATCCGGATCAGAAAATCCCGTGATTGACACGTACAGTAAGGAATACAACGATATGTATCCACCAAGTCGGCGGACGACAAGCACGGTTGCTGGAGACCATTTATAACCCGTAACTTTACGGGGGTCTTAGTGTAAATATACTCTTATTACTCTTTTCACTGTTACTTATGATTGTCAAAGAATTTTGTTGTACACCTCTGATAGCAATACTGTTGGTACATGTGGACATTCCTAGGCCTAAGCTCTTCTGATGAGAGTTCGATGTCAAACAGCACTGATAGCTACTCTGAACGACCCCTAAAACAAGCATGTGGTACAGGGGTGATTCCGCAAAGTTCCCTTGTGGGAAGTATGTTCAACTAAACGGAAACGACATATAATTACATTCGCAAAACATTAACGCGTCACGTCTATACTCTCAAATATATACAATAAATGGTTATTAAATAGATTCAGGCTCGTAATGTTATTGCTGCACCATGGCCTTGAATCATGCCACTAAGTGCAAGCTGAAACCTTTGCTAGGAAGGTAATAAATATTGCAAAAACAAAATCAAACTGCGAAAAGTAATCAGTATGTAATCGTAGAAATGTCAGTACACGGACTTACTGGCAGCACTAAGCTGGTAGCTGTCTCTGATGTTGATGATGCTGTATGAGGCGTTGATGATGATCCGGGAACGAGAGTTGTTGACGTTGTTGAAGTTAATAGCTTTCTGTATCTCCCTTCTGACTTCTGAGTCCTCATCATCAAGGATCACACCTGCGCAGAAACCATCAGTAAACAGATGAACGTTTATCGTCATCAAGTGTCATACCTGAGTATAAAACATCAGTAACCAGATGAACGTTTATCGTCATCAAGGGTCACACCTTAGCATAAAACATCAGTAACCAGATGAACCTTTATCGTCATCAAGGGTCATACCTGAGCATAAAACATTAGTCAACAGACGAACGCTTGCAACTATCACACCTGAGTATAAAACATCAGTAACCAGATGAACGTTTATCGTCATCAAGGGTCACACCTTAGCATAAAACATCAGTAAACAGATGAACCTTTATCGTCATCAAGGGTCACACCTTAGCATAAAACATTAGTCAACAGACGAACGCTTACAACTATCACACCTGAGTATAAAACATCAGTAACCAGATGAACGTTTATCGTCATCAAGGGTCACACCTTAGCATAAAACATCAGTAAACAGATGAACCTTTATCGTCATCAAGGGTCACACCTTAGCATAAAACATTAGTCAACAGACGAACGATTGCAACCATCACACCTGAGCATTAATCATTAGTGAACAGCTGAACGTTTTCAGATCCTTATGTAATATAGATGGAACACACGCCATCAACGGAGACATACATATGATTATCTTATCACGAGGAAGTATACCCTCATGTTTGGCAGTTGTTTAAGCCAATCCAAAACAAGACATGGTTATTCGATGGTGACATACTCAAAATGTGTGTCACAGTTTTATTTTGGATCTCTGGTTGTAGTGTTTCGGCCATCGTTTCGTTATCACGACATTCCTACTTTTGTGTTCTAATGCAATGTCCAAATGCATATTTTATTATCCGGACAGGCTACTTTCTCGAAAGTAATAATAAAATGGATTGGTTAAACAAATCGTAGTTCGCACACAATGCCTACCCAAGCATCTCGGATATATTCCCAAAAGAGTCACAGAAAACACGAAACTGATAGAACCTATTGCAAATGGTATCACCTTTACAACCATTTCACGTGTTAGAGTAATGTATCTAATGGAAATACCTATGTGTTCAACGTTTCAAAATTCGCACTGATGTGGCCTCTGGTACCTTAGTACTGCAATACTTCCTTCACCGTCAGCAGCTGTACACATTGAAACATGGGCCACTAAGATATTTCTTACGATTTAATCAGCTGACGAGTCGTGTAAATACAGCGATAGGAACAAAACTTCATGTCTGACCAAGCAATACGCCCTTCTTTCTGTTTAGAATACCCAAATTCAATGTGTTGTACAATGCAGATGCTACATGTCTCACCGTCACGTGGTGTACATGATACGTTACGTGCCTTTAGAGGGATTCAGTGTAGTATAAATATAGAACGTCAATGTAAAAGAATACCAAGTCTTGACAATCCTCAACAACAAATTGCATCTGGTGTAAAGGGAAACATAGCAGTGACAGTTACATGAATAGATCCCTGAAAATCAGTGATGGCACCAGGTGTTCGCGAAAAGGGTAAGCATGGCCTGCCATACCCCATTTTGCAATATTCCACCACTATAAAAGCGTGTGACACCAGAATGGACTCCTCACATTGTAACCATGTGGCAAATCGAACGCGGGCCCTCGATGTGGCAAGCAAATTGTGCTTTTAGATCTTCGGCTTCGTTTCATAAAACATCCTAACAAATGCGATAGTGATAGGCGCGCTTTGATTCTTAACCTTTCAATGTTGACAGAATATGACAACTTGAAGGAAGCACTATTGGCAAGAGGACCACCTGTAAAGCAGAATATTCCAACATCAGCTGTATTCAAGTCAAAGAAATGAGGACATCCTCTCTGAGAGAGTCTGACAAATATTTGACTTCTTTGAGAAGATATTGGAACATGGAATGGGAAATTTTCCGTGAAGAAGTTTGGTGAGGTCCTGAATCGATTGCTGGAACAAGACGAACTGTCACGTCCTCTTATCGGTCTGACAAGGATTCATGACTTCTGATATGTGCACAAGGAACTAATGATGGAACCGTTAATGTTTGCGAGCAATAAAGTCACACAGATCGATCTGGTCTTGTCAGAGACCTCATTGCCACTGACGTGGACAACGTTTGTCTCTTACAGGATGAAACACGGCCATGCCTCCTGCCCTTCCTGAGCCTCTTCCATTTCAAGGTGGCCAATAGTTCGCAGTGGTTTGAGATCTTTCTATTTGACCCAGACCCTTCCGACACTCATCGTTCGTGGTTGCCAATAAAATGCCAGTGAGTAGATTGGATGGATTCCATACCTCAACAGTATTGGGTTTCCAAGTCTCTTGAGGTTAAATTGCGGTGTTAGGGTAGACGACAATGCAGTTGCATTCGGACAGAAGGATAACATGAATGACATAACCTGTTCACATGCTCCTACCTATCAGGATATTGGCGGAAGCTGCATCTGAATCAACCCTAGAATTCATGATTTTATTTGTTATGTTGTTAAACGCAACATTCAGCAATATTCAAGTTACATGACACACAATGTATCCGTGGCTGGAGCAGACAAAGCAGTGATTGATAGTAATCAACGATCAACGCTGTGGAGGTATAGCATTCAGTCAACCAAATTACAGGGCCTCGTCACCACGTACATGTAGCGATTTACTACCAAACTTGACTGCAGGGGACCAGGCTAGCTATTCTCGAAATGGCTACGATCAAAGTTAAGAATTCTCAGGGCTACGAACGTTTCGTGAATCAGGGTCATCTTCTGCACATCGGCATGGCTGACAGACTGACTGTTGGGTTTTACGCCGCTTTTAGTAATATTCCAGCAACATCACGGCGGGGGACACCAGAAATGGGCTCCACACATTGTGCCCATGTGGGGATTCGAACCCGGGTCTTCGGCGTTACGAGCCAACGCTTTAACCATTAGGCTACCCCACCGCCCCACATCGGCATGGAGTAAGGCTAGTTGAAAAATATGTACTCTGTGAGAAAATTAGTCAACCATCTTTTGGATACCTCATTTATCTCCTTCATATACTGCTGACCCTGCGGTGTATGATTAGTTTGGTGGTTAAAACGTTCGAAAATTTTGGGTTCGATTCCCGTTAGTACAATGTGCGTTAGTATGTCTGGTGTTCCCAGCTGTGCTATTGCTGGAAAGTGTGTGACTCTAATCCACAAACAGACAAACACGAACAGACACACAGACATACGCACGCACACATACCTTTAGTTAGTCCTGTCAATAATGGCTTGGAGTCCTCATTACCAGGTCTCACTGTATTATCTCCATGAGCGTTGGAACATTGTAAATGTAGACTCAGCTGTGTACATCATACCAGAAAGGTAGAAGTGTCAAGACAAACTCCAGGAGTACGTTCATCCCAACATCCAAGCCAACTTTAGTCCTGTGCTGAGTCGTATAAAAGTATCCACCCACTACAAAACTGCCGTCTGGTTAAACCTCACACCGAACAGAATGTCAGTATGGACTTTGATATTGGATCGCACTGTATTTGATAAATATTACCATCTCCATCTTATTTTCACATTCTCATAACATTAACCGCTCCGTATCATTTCTTTCCCCGGCGTCATACAACGCCAACTGCATATTGTTCTTGGGGGTTTACCAGACTATCTTGGTGGTATCACATTGCATAGTAGTTATGTTTAATGACATGATGTGGTATGAAGTAAGCCAAGAAAAATGGACAGAAGGCGCCAGGAGTCATTAGATTTCCGAAGCACAACATCCATGAGAAATGTCCTGCATAAATGTAATGGACAGTAATTGGTCAATCAGGGCAGCTTGTGCATGTGGCCGCTGTGCCCATAAATCATAATCCTGTGTGCATGAAGAGAGACACTTGATTGCTGCAGCTATTGAGAATATTCTGAATATCCGCAAGTCACGACACATGTCAGAATATCTTAATTTGAAGGGTTTTCATTTTGACATCGGTCTGTGTAGATGAAAACGCATGTGTACATGATCTTGCCCTCTCTTTACATGAACATGTCCTCTTTGTAAATGAACATGCCTTCTTTCATAATGAATATGCCCTCTTTTCACATACCCGTGACCTTTTTGCACATGAGAATGCCCTCCTTTTTCATGAACATGCCGTCTTTGTATCTAAACATGCCCTTTTAGGATATGAAAAAAAGTTTTACAGCAGACCTTTCAAAGTTTGACGCATTCGTTCCCGATGTTTTTTTATGTGAACAGATGACTAAGCCTTTGCATTTGTTCATGAAGGGTGCCACATGTAGGGCAACAGACGCTCACCTTTATCGAACACCTGGTGTCAGCACTATTTGATTGTGATGTATAAACACGTATCTCATGCTGTCAGTCACTGGATTGTCTGGTCCAGACTCGATTGTTTACAAACCACGTCATACAGCTGTAATACTGCTGAATGCGGCGATGGAAATGGCTTTGTCGTTTCTGTTTGCATATGAACATTCGTGGAGACATTTAAGCGTACATCCATCACTCCATGTACTGAAACCTCTCAGTCAGTCAAAGTTGCATGTATATATCTCGTTATTCAAGCAGAGGCATACCTGTCTAGCATCCAAGAACCATTAAATCTTCGTCTTTCCAGCTAATTACTCTCGGAGGATTCATCATGTGCCGTTACCTGTTGAAGTGTTCAATGAAGGACACGTTCAAAGAATGAAAGCACCCGGTTCCAAACTGGCATTTAAAAACATGTTATACATGAGATATAGCCATGGTGACCATCAGGAAGCTTCATTTAACAACACATATATTGCCTCCATACACTCAACGCGCTAAGGGGCTGGTGGTGTTGTTTTGTCTTTAAAACTTTCGATCGTCATGTTTCGGGTTTGATTCCCCATACTGATACCATGTGTGGAAAACATTTAACATTTCAATAATCAATAGAAACATCAGCTGAAGGCACAATGCATTGTATAATTCCGACCTTATCGTGAACATATGTCCATGAATCATTATCAAACAGTGATACGTTGTGCTGTGAAGAGTGTTCATTACTCAGAA